TTGTCCTTCAGTTCCTGACAAATCTCCGGTATCTCGAGGTGGTAGCTCCTCCATCTTGGCTACTTTCAGCTTTTGGTTCCTGAGTTCCTCATGAAATACTTCCTTGTCTAATACGACTTCCTGGAGCTCCATCTTAAACTTCTTGATGTACTACTCCAGATCTTGGTGATACACCAGCTAAGTTTAAAACTGCATCCTTTGCTGATAGATGCTCCATCAGCCTTCTACCATCCAATCCTTCTGAAGGAATGCATGCTTAGCTCAGCTCGGTGACCACAATATCAATGGTGATGACATCACGGATAACCGTGTTTCTGCCCTTGTCATTTCCATGCGCTATCATTCCATAGTTGATATCTCCTGCCTCAAAACTTCAAGTTCTCATGCTCCTTGTGTTAGTCTTTCTCCGATACACCGTGATCTCGGGTATTGACAACTTCCATAATCTGTCAAGTTCCATAAGGGTAGCCTTCCTAGGTCATACAAATCTGGGATTCTTCAGAGCCTTCAAATTCTCCTAGTCTTCAGAGTCTTCAACAGCTGTAGTTTTCCATTATCATAATGTATGGTAAAATCCTCTTCATTCCGAATGGTCTTACTGGTCTGATATCCTGTACTTCTTGGAGTGGTCTCATCAGTCGAATCTTCGAGTGGTCAAAAGGGGAAAGGGGTATGGTCTCACTAAAGGGAATTTTTGAATAAGCTCAGAAGAGAGGAGAGAGGTAAAAGATCTTTTTGAAAGGGAAAGTTGTAGAGAAAAAATCTTTGCTATGGGCTTGTCAGTTTCTAGGGTCACGTCCTATAGTCAACATGTGCTCTGATACCATCTTGTAGCGACCCGACCCGAATGGATCAAGTCTCTGTGCTTATGTGTCATCCCGGGATCAGTATGCTGACACACACAGTACTCGAAGGATTTATAACAGAGGTAAATCACATGTATAAAGTAACGTAAGTACTATTACCTCAATCCTTATAGCGGAAGCAATAAGGTTGTGGATTCCCATCAACACCAACAGCAAAGTTGAGTGTAGAAATCGTAACCCTAATGTATCACTTACTCGTCGTAAGACATCCTGCAACATGAGACGTTGCAGCCCGAAACGGGTCAGTACATTGAATGTACTGGCAAATTCACACCATAGAGAAAATGATGAACAATGGCTATCACTATATGCATATATGGCTGGTGGAAAAGCTCTATGGTTATAAGGTTTTTGCGTAAAGCCAATTTTTCCCTACTGCAAAGGAATAAATTTATTTAACTATCATGGTGGTTGTGAAACATTGAGAATGGTTGACAGCATTCTCAATCCTAATTAAAAGTACTCATTAAAACCCAACAACATTAATTAGAAGTAACATGTTGAGATTCACATGATATTCAAGTACTAGATACTCAAGTTGTCCATAACCGAGGACACGGCTAATCATGATTAGTTTGTACACTCTGCAGAGGTTTGCGCACTTTTCCCCACAAGACTCGATCGCCTCCGTTTGGTTTCTCGCACTACATGGTGTTTGAGAAACGGATGACCGAGACACATTCTTTCAGAAGCGCTAGCACCTTACATGTGGGTAGACCTGTACACCTACATCCCCTACATCTGCTAGCCTACCCGTAAGAGTTCGCACAACTTACTCCACTATGCCAGAGCCCATAATGGCTTGTGGCTGCACACGTAAGTTACTAGTATGAATTATCTTATGATCCCTTTGAGTCTGGGTGGCGGTCCAAAATAAAACAGGCAAGTCCTGATAGACATCAAGTGCCTTAGTCCACCCAGATGTGTGTTTAAGTTGCCACCTTAGATAAACCATTAAAATTATCAACTCACATCTGTCATGGATATTGACTCACCCAATCCACGTCTACTAGCATAGCATGGCATAATAAGCAAACGTAGAAGTAACTCCCAAAGGTTTCATAAGTAATACAGGTAATAGGTACTACCTCATCTACTTCCCATCCCACAATTTAATTAGATCCTAATCATGCAATGTGTGAGGATTGATCTAATGCAATAAAACTGGGTTGTAGAAAAGGTATGATCAAAGTGTTACTTGCCTGCAAATTTGATGAAGATGATTCGCACTCAAAACTCTTGATAGTTCTACTCGTCACACTCCGGTAAATCTATCGTAAGCAATCAACAGTAACCACACAGTAAGTACTCATCTAAAGCACAAGTAAAACTCGAATAAGAGAACGAACCAGATAGTTCAACTTAAGAACTCCGGTTGCAAAGAAAGAACGAACCGAACAAAGAAACAGAAAACAAACGGCGGAAGAAAACAACTCAGTTCTAGCAAGTGGAACTAGGACAAATTTTACCGGGGCAAAAGCTTGTTTAAGTTGATTAGACGGAACGGCGGTTTCGAAACGAAACTCCAGGCGCTTGAATCACCTGATTCCGATAAACGAGCGAGAAGATAAACTAGAACGAAGATCGGATCTGAGATCGCGATCGCGGAATAAATCCGACGAAAAAGAAAAAGAAGAATGGTTAAACGAACGGGCGTTCGTGAACCTAGAAGAATCCGGTGATCACGTTCTTTGGGACGAACGGTCCGGCGAACGGTCCAAAGGCAACTAAATCGGAAAAGAAAACGAATCCGATCTAGGGTTTCGGAGAAGAAAACCGAAACGAAAAACCGATCTAGAAAACGAATTAGAAGAGAAGAAAAGAATCGGAACGATTAGAAGAAAACGATCCGAGGAAAAGAGACGCGGGGCAACCTTGGCGAGGGGCTCCGGCGACGGCGGCGTTGGGCGGCGGCGGCGGTGCTAAGGCGGCGGCGAACGGTGGCGACGGCGGCTGCGGCGCGGGTGAGGCGGCGGCGCTAGGGCACAAGGGCGGCGGCGCGGGTGTGGGGTGGCGGCGCAGGGTGGGGCGGCGGCGCAGTGTGGTGCGGAGGAGAGGAGAGGAGAGGTGTTGGTTTGATGTGTTAGAGGGGGGTGCTTGTGTATTTATATTGGGGAGGAGAGGATTTTGCTTAGGGTAGGGGACAAGAAATAGATTAGGATTAGGAAACAAGAGGAAAAAAATCTAGAAATAGATACGGAATAAATGAATATAGGACAAGAGTCCTACTAGGACTAGAAAAGAAAGGAAGCGGCGGCTCCCTGGTGCGCGCGCGCTACGGCGATGGCCTAGGCCTTGGCTGGCCGGCTGGCGGCTTGGGCCTTTGGCCCAAGGCGCTGAGGTTTTTTTTTAAATGGTCTCGCGTGCAGAAAAATAAACAAAAAGAGATCTAAACGAACTCCGAAAAACCTAAAGTAAATTTTTGCCGACTCCTAAAAATGAGCCGTACAAAATAAACTTTTCTCCGGACCTAAAAAGCAATTTTTGAAAACACGCATTTTTTCTATCCAAATAAAATGCGAATAAAATTCCGGCAAACAAAATTTGATCTATTTATTAAATCTTCATTTTCCTAAATTTGGGAAAGTCATATTATTCCCTCTCTTATATTTTTGATAACAGAAAAATAATTGAAGACGAAATAAATAAATCAAATGATCCTCTTTTCAATTCGAGAAAACTCTCAAATATAAAAATAACGAAATCTCCAACTCTCTCCAAGGGTCCTTGAGTTGCATGAAATTTCTAGGATCGACCAAAATGCAAGAAAATAAAATATGCATGATGATCTATTCCAAATTGAAAATAAATTCAAAGGGGGCTTTGAATTTAATTCTTTGAAACTCCCAACTCATATTTCATATAATTTGAAGAAGTCATTTTATCTTCTTTCGTGAAAATCATTGAGTTGCATAAAGTTTTAGAATTGGAATATTTTCCAAATGAAATTTAAATATTTTTCAAACACCCTTTTCATTTTAAATGGAAGAAGTCATGTCATCTTCTCTCTAGGGTTTTGTGTTTGAAAAGCATTTGAATTCACGGAGAGCTTAAAATGCAAAAATGAAAGTTTGGGAAAGTCCTCTTATTCCCTCTCATTTAACTTTCAAAAAGGTTTCGAATTCACTCACTTTCAGACAATCAATCAAACAATCAGTCAAATCTATCTATTTATTATAACATTCCAAAATTTAGAATTTTGGGATGTTACATAATATCTGTAAACAACATGGTAACATATGTAGCTCAGGCGTGATACCTTACTTAGCCCAGAAGTAGTAACTTTTGATCCGAAATAAAAATTATCTGAACAAATCAACATAATATCTACTTTTGATGCTTTCTTCATGAATCTTTTCGATCGAACCAACGGTTTGAGCTACAAAACATTTTGAAGTTTTGAAATAAAGGGGAATCAAGGATGACATCAACTTTTTGGTATTCTAATTCATTTGCATGTGGGGAGAATTTGAGGACCACTTTTATGCCCCGGTGATTTCTATATAAATAAGATGGTAACTTACGTATCATGCATAGACGTGATAACTTACTTAGCCTAGGCCTGATAACTTTTGACCCCGAAAAAAAATCGTCGAAACATACCAACATGGGATCTAGATTCGAAGATCTCGTCGAGACGAATCTTTTATGTGAAAACAGTCTTTCAATCATAGCTATGATTTGTGCTACAAAATGTTTTAAAGTTTGCATTTCAAAGAAATCTTTGATGACATCAGCAGTTTTGTTTTTATATGCATGCATATTTAACAATGCAGCTGCAAGCTATGGCGCGCATGCAAAGTCGTCATCGCTCATCCTGCATGCATGCATATTTGCGGCGATTGTTCGTGCCTGTAGCTAAAATCCTGCCGTCCGGTCGTTAGCACAGTCCATTATAGATACCACTTTTTGAAACCACTGATTTTCTTGAAATTAGTGAAATCCGTTTCCTAAAATGAGTGATTTTTTTTCATGAGTGAATTTTATTTTTGAAATGACTGAAGTATGTTTTTTATATAATGAGTGAAATTTGCATTTTATAAGTGAATGCTTCGCCGTTAGGTAAAAGCAACGGTGGATGCTTCGCCGTTAGGTAGCAGCACGGCAAGATTTACTATTTTGTGGAGTCTTTGGATGCTTTGGATCGAAGGATCCTTCCCGCAGCCGAGTTCCTTGCCCAGCTGTATTAGCTCTTCCAAGTTCCAAGTCCAACCCCACTTCTCCCCTCCCCCTCCCCGCTTCTTCTTAAAGCTTCGAGTCAGAATCAATCCCCTCCCCCAACGCAAGGCAGACTTCTTCTTCCCTCATTCGTCGTCCTCCCAATCACCGGATACCGGAATCAACCAGGACGAGGACCCCTCGGTACGTGAGCTCGGTTGTTCTCCCCTTGTCAACTCGTAATCTGCTATAATCCAGCGGAAGGTATGCGCATGCTTCCAGGAGTTTTTCGAAATCGTGAAAAAGGCGTTAGGTTTTGAAGTTAGGCTGATGAACCTGTGGGGATCGACGGGGGAGTATAATTTGGTGGGATTAGGGTTCTGAAGGCACTCTGAATATTTCGATGGTGTTGTAGAAGGATTGCGATTTTCTTTTGGGTCTGCATTTAAGGGGCACTTTAAGTTCGTCTCTTTCTTTTTCCTTTTTTACTTTAGAGAACCTGCATTTTACAAGTGAATTGTTCCAGATAATACTTTGTGTGCTGTATGAATATATTCGTGCTTCAGTGCACAACTAAGATGTTGATTTTGTTTCTGTCTTTCTTGTTGTTCTGACTCTTTTTCTGGCATAGTACATCATGTCAGCGAGCAATCTGAGGCGGCGGCTCCATCACGCAGATGTTGATGGAAGGAAGAATGAACATGTTGGCATATCCCATGTAGATTCCCTGGATGAACCTCTACTAGGGAAATCTAGTTATGACGGTGGCGGATCGGAAGTTAGTAATTTTCTAGACATAATTTCGTAAGTTCTTCCAACCTTGAGGTCAATGCAGACTATTGACAAATTTCCTTACCTCCTGAAGGTATATGACCCCAGAAGGCAAGACTTGTGGGATGATGATGATAGGAAAAAGGAACAATTACACTGGTCATTTCTTTTCTCAAATTTGATTGCGCAGTGGGCACAGTGGTTAGGTACTGCTCCACGCATTTGTCTATACACTTTGTAATGCTTGACATTAACGGACTGTTATATCATCTTCTAGTTTGATGATTTTCTAGCACTTGGTATGCGAATTTAACTATTATTCATCTTTGCCAAATATAGATTCACTGATTACTTTGTGTAAATGGGCAGGCCGGTAGCTATCATGAAAATTAGAAGTAATATTTCTGATTTTCAAATCCATGACATATCTTTGATTGTATCAAGTCATGTAAACAATATACTGATATAGCAATGCTCTATCTTGGAAGTCGTTGAGCTTTTGTTCTAGATGAATTTCTCGTGGCTATTGATGTACTGCCTTCCTAGCCATGATCTTAATTCTGTGATAATTTTGATATTCTTCTGTCCTTTTTGCTATTTGTTGCAGCAAATATTATTGTAAGCTCCGGGTCAATTTTTGGTAGGTTGTTTCCCTTTTCTTCGGATAACGAAACCAGCAATCCAGTATATCTTAGTCCTTTGCAGGTAACATGTGGACGAAAGTTGGATAAAACAGGCCCTTAGAATTATTTAAGTTCTGAACTTCTGTTTTACAGGAAGAAAGATTGGACAATTTAAGACGCAGATTGAAAATCCCTTTTGATGGTTCCCGTATTGAGCACCAAGTACGTACAATCCGTTTGGAAAGCTCGGACATGCCTCTCTATTATTATTATTATTGTTTTCCCACTGGGCATGCTCTCATGGAAGCAAAGCAACTGATCGGCATTATTCTTTTTAGGACGCCTTGAAACAACTGTGGAAGTTAGCTTACCCAAGTCGCGAGATTCCTCCTCTAAAATCAGAATCGTGGAAGGAGATGGGTTGGCAAGGCACTGATCCATCAACAGATTTCAGGTCTCCTTTGAATAGTCTTGACTCTTATGTACCAGGCTGCGCTTCTGGTGTTGTTTACTCAATTGATAAAGCCATCTAATACAAATAGTCTCCATGCAGGGGTGGTGGATACATATCATTGGAGAACCTCATCTTTTTCGCTAGGAACTACCCAGTAAAGACCTAGTTAAAACTGCTGGTCATATCTCTGTTATTAGAGTAAATTACATCTATGGTACCTGTACTTGATCCTAGGGTTCACTTTTGTCACTGTATTCAGGAAAGGTCAAAATACGGTCACTGAGGTTGCCAGGACGTGCCACTCTACGGTCACCAGTACCGTATCCACTGTATCTCACTGAGTGGCAAATACACCTCTCTCTACTAGCACTCCTCTCTGAAATTACGTCGAACATCTTATCCGCATTCGCTGTTGCACCTCAAGCCCAGCTCCCACCCCTGCCATAGCTCCCCAGCGCCGCGTTCTAGAGCTCCCGAAGCCTCATGTTGTCCATGAACGATACTAAGCTGGTTTCCTAGACCATTACACACGGAATCCCACCCTCCTGTGCCACACCCAACTTGAAGTTCATCAGCATCGTTGGCCGACTGTCGGCGCCATGTTTGCAAGTGCATGGGACGGGTGCGTGCGTGGCCAATCGGCCGAAGAAGGCGGCAGCGGCGGCGAAGCAAGCCCTGGTGGCGGACGTGCCTGTGTGGACCGTGTGTGTGCGTGAGTCAGCCGTGTGCGCGCGCGCGTGTGGGTTCAGGGGAGTGGACCGCGTCGGGCGCGCGGAGTGGCCGCGGCGATCGCGTGTGTGCGCGATGGGCGTACGCGAGCCGAAGCGCGCGGGACGTGGCGAGTGGGAGAGTGGGTACCTTTGGGCACGGCCTGGCGTGTCAGAGCCCGCGGGTATAAGACCCTCTCCCCCCTGTGTAATCGCTGCCCAGATCGAGTCCGTGCTCGATGTGAAAAATAGAAAAGCCGTTCGTGCGGCGGGGGTGTTTGAGCGGCCGGAAAACTTTTGTGTCCTTCTTCCTCCTCTCCGGCCGTGTCTACGGTGATCGCCGTCGTGCACTAGGGCTAGCTGCGCCAACACACGCGAGGGGAACCGGGCTTTCCAGGAGGCGGCTGAGGTGCGATCCGACCTCGTAGTCATCTCGGAGCATGTCGAAGAAAGCGAGCTCGTCCGGGTGCAGCGCGCCACCGTATTGTTCGACGAAGAGCGGGGCGTCGCACGAGAGGAGCTCAAGTAGGGCAGTCTTCCGCCTTCACAGGGACGGCGCGGCACGAAGAAAGGCGGTCTCGAAGTAGAGGTTGTTGACAGAAGAGAGCCAAGCAGCCATGTGGTACATCTCGCGGTAGCCAGTGCTCAGGTTCATTCATCGGATGCGAAAAAGGCATGAGAAGGATGAGCTTGCCACGTAAGCAAGTCAACCGTTAGGACAGTTCAACATATACCACATCAGTGAAATACGTTGCATACGGTAGCGGTGACCGTAGAGTGACACATTTACGCAATCTCAGTGACCGTATTCTGGCACTTCGTGAATACAGTGATGAAAGTGAACCCTAGTGTCAAGTTTGAGTACTATAGATGTAATTTACTCCTGTTATTACATACTCCTAGTTTTGTCTGATCATTACATCTGTTCTGTATCAGGCATCCTTTCAAATGCTTCTGAACAAAGTGCAAGGTCAAAGAGCAGATTGGGAGTACCCTTTTGCAGTTGCTGGTATCAACATTTCATTCATGCTGATCCAGATGTTGGATCTGCAATCAAGTAAGAGCATGTGCAATTTCATTGGTTCTAAGAAAATTGCTAGAACTCGGTCCAAAGAAAACTAAAATTTCTCTGGTGTTAACTTTTTCGTAGCACCTACTTTTGGGCCCACATGTCAGATATTATATTCTTTTATCATCTACCATCCTCTCAATATTGAGCCAACTTGGGCCCCACATAGTCAACTCACTTAGAACCTGATTCTAGTACTAGAGTCGATGCTAAGATTTCCTAGAACCAGTGAAATTGCCAACATTGGCAATGCTCTGTAATGGTATTGTTCCTAATCCCTGGTTTTTGCGCTTCTCACTTTTTCTCAGCTGTTCCATCTTCAAAGTCAGGAATTCGTTTCCTGGAACTACTCGGACGAGATGAACATGCGTTTGATCACCTCTATTGTGTAGCCTTTCGGATGCTTGATGCCCAGTGGCTCGTGAAACGTGCTTCATATATGGAGTTCAATGTAAGCTTTTTTTGCATTCCATGTAGGCTAATCCTGATTTTAATTGTACCATTAAATCTGTAATCAGCTGCATTACTGTTTGGTTGCGCCAGGAGGTGATGAAATCCACGAGAACTCAGTTGGAGCGTGAACTGGTTTTAGAGGATGTATTGGCGGTCAAGGACCTACCGTCTTACACAATGCTGGACAAATAATAGAGCTTTTGCATTTGATTTGCCGTGAGATATAACTGACTCTGCTATGGGGGAATGGGGGCTCAGACTGAAGGGTTACTTACTTATGATGTGTCAGTGTCTGATGATAGATGATAAATTGTGTATGGCCCCTTGTTGTGGCTATATATTGTTGCATGCAGTACATATTGAACTTGATCATGGCTAGGAAGACAGTACATCACACAGACATCCAAAAATTTGAGGAGTTGTAAATGTCTGTACCTAATAATAAAGGGACTATTGCTTTTGGCGGTACATCACGAAAATTACCTTTTAAAGGTCCACAAATTACCCATTATGCCACTTATAAGTGAGTGAAAAACGATTCGTAAGTTTATGGACTGTACTTTAGTTTATTACCAGGCGACCCGCTTATTTAGCACAAGCATGTAAATAGTCCATTGGCTTGAGCCGCACGCCTCCACTTGAGAGATCCAGGTTTGATCCCAGCTCGGCCTATTTTTCTTTTCTTTTTATTTAATTTTTTATTGGGTATATTCAAATACTTTTTAGAACATTCATATCTTTCAAGTCCAACTTAAAATATAACATACTATATATGAAAATTCCTTAGAGAAACGTGTAGATTTCAAATATGCTATTATCGTGCATGCTAATGATTTCTAAAATTAGGGTATTTTAAAAATGCCTATTATATATGTCCTACACCATTTAAATTATGTGTAGATTTTAAATATACTATTATCATGCATGTTAATCATTTATAAAATTAGGTTTACAATGCAACCTTAATTAATACCTTTTTAATTTTGAAAATACCTATTATATATGTTTCGACACCATTTAAATTGAGTACATATGATAGTTACAGACAAAAATAATGCTCTTATGCACAAGTTATCGTTGTGTACTAAAACGTACTTCGCTATTTTCATCATAATGCAATATTTGTTGAGCATCACTAAAGAGGAACGACAACAAAAGTGTAAACAGATACCAATAACTAGGTAGATATTTTTGTTTAATAAATTAGAAACACCTTGAGTGCACTTCAAAAATCATCCCACCTTTATGGTTTTGCGCAACACTACTTATCATGTTGCTTGTCGCTTGTCGTGCAGAATCATGAAAGATTTTAAGGGATTTGCTCATGTCGTCGGATGTGTGTATGAGGGATGTTTTTTTTCCCGGTGCAACGTACGGGCATATTTGCTAGTATATATGTAAGCATGTTATGCATGAGTCTCTGCAGCTTTCAGACTCACCATGACAACAAAATAAAGGAGGTAAATAAATTGGGAGTACCTAAACTTGTACTCGATGGTCACTTTGGTAGCTTACGTTACAGAATGCTAGTTTCTGTTGCTTGAACTTGCCTCAACGTGCAAATATGATGCCTCCTCCGGTATGCGCTGCCTACACTGTTTGGGAGGACATGCAGGCCCTGCTTGTCAACATAATAGAAATAAACCTCTCTACGAGGTGTGGGTCCTCATAAGTGAGGTATGCACTAGCAGCCTTGGTTAAAGGTGGGATGGGCTTCAAAGATTTACGGTTGCCGGCCTTGGTTAGAGGTCGGATGGGTTGTTTGGGAGGACATGTAGGCCCTGCTTGTCAGCATATTAGAGAAATAAACCTCTCTATGAGGTGTGGGTCCTGATAAGTGAGGTATGCACTGGCAGCCTTGGTTAGAGGTGGGATGGACTTCAAAGATTTACGGTTGGCAGCCTTGGTTAGAGGTCGGAGTTTGGGAGGACATGTAGGCCTTGCTTGTCAGCATAATAGAGAAATAAACCTTTCTATGAGGTGTGGGCCCTGATAAGTGAGGTATGCACTAGCAGCCTTGGTTAGAGCTGGGATGGGTTTCAAAGATTTATGGTTGGCAGCCTTGGTTAGAGGTCGGATGGGTTTCAAAGATTTATAGTTGTTCAATGACGCTATGTTAGCAAAGCGGGCTTGGAGATTGGACAAGCCAGAGAGTTTATGTGCTAGAGGCCTTCGAGGACAATACTTTTCGGCTGGGAACAATTTACAGGCTCGCTGCCCTGCGGGTGCTTTGACGACGTGGAGAGACATTTTGTTAGGGGAGGAAAGTTTTGAAGTAGGACACATTATTAATTTTTTAAATGGAGGCAAAAGATTTGACTCGCCCATTAATTAAGCAGAAGAGAGTTGCCTAGTTAATTAACGAAAAACCGGGCGAAAACCATCACAAACTGCTGAGCGGCACACACATAATACTCCACACACACCTCACATAGAGGGTCTCGTTAAGATCGCACACCGGCTTCATCGTCATCGCTTCTCCCCAACATGCATCATCACCTTCCCTAATCTCCGAGAAAGCGACTCCGACTTCGTTGAAGATGAACATCGACCCTCACCGTAGAGTTTATGCAGCAATAAAAGAAGGCTCGTGCCAAACTCAGCCACCCACGCTGAGGGTAGCGCAACTCCGACTCTGGACACTAGCTCTGAAGGAGAACTATGCAAGGTTGGCGTCATGAAAGACCACCGAACAGACCAGCTGCAGCATGTCATCGTTGCCAACGAGGCCCCGCCATCGCAGCCCAGACTTCACCGCAACAAAACAACTCGAGGTAATCCCACGAACACGCCGGAGAAGAGCCGACTATCGCAACCATTGCCGTGTCTCCGACATCGCGCACTCCCATCATCGTTGCCACAGAAGCCATGATGCCAACACCGCCATCTTCCATCGGCCCCGCTTGCCGATGCCTAGGTCCAAAGATGAAGCCCCCGAGAAGGGATATGATGCCAAAGCATTGTCACCATCCAGTCACATGGGTCTAGGGTTTCACGTGAAGCTGCAAAGGTTGCGGCGAGGAGTACCTCGGCAATGCCACCAAGATGGAAACGGTGCTCGAAAACGTCGACATTGCTAGCTCCGGACAAGCCGAGACAAGCTTTCGCCTGGGTCAACCTCACGAGCCCCGCGTAGCATGCATCAGCAAGTCCTCTGCCGAGCCACCATGGCCAAATCCGGATGGATCTGAGCACCTTCTCTCTAGGTCGCTGCACTGGCCACCTCAACCAGTCCTTAGCAGAGCCCACAAGCCACAGAAGCTTGCCCACGACCGTTGCCTCCCGCTGCCGCTGGCAGACATCAAAGACGAAACATTCAACGTTCGCCGATGAGCGCCAACACAACTGGGCCAGTCCGTGCGTCATCCTTCTTGGCGACTTCACCTTCGCACCAGCGCTCGCCCTCTCGTTGCACACCTAACCACCGACCACCACCACATCGCACACTTCCCCTCCAGATCCACGGCACACCTGCACACCAAGGCCATAGAGCGCACCACCAACTTCCAAAGGGACATCACTGATCACGCCCGCGAGCAATCGAGTCCCCCCTAGTCTGCGTCGAGGCCCGAGCAGTAGACCCGCGTGGCGGCGGTGAACGCGCACATCCGCACCAGATTCGTGCACCACCCAGCTCGCCAGCTGAGTCGTAGGAAAGCCGTACTATTAAGAGGGGGTCTGCTTCGGAAAGGTTAGGGTGGAATCATCACGTACACGTCTGTTCCTTTGCACCACCTTTCCCTTGCCGCTTTGGAGCACCGATCTATTATCTGTGTATTTGCAAAACGAACGACTCCAAGTGGTAGTGTGATGTGGCGTGCGGTAGTACTGCTCAAGGGAGCAGTAGTACCGCAGAGCCTCACGGTAGTACCACACCACCTTGCGGTAGTATCGCTCCTAGGACGCGGTAGTACCGTGACTTCTGGTCCAGCATTGCTACTCGCACGGAAGTAGGGGCAGATGTAATTTTTTACATCCGCGCCCTATGCGGTAGTACCGCTCCCTGGATGCGGTAGTACCGTGTCGGATTTTTGCACCGATCTAAACTTAGCGGAAGTAGTCACCGATGTAATTTTATTCATCCGTGCCTTCCCAGCCCAGTTGAACCCTGCCTTGCGATAGTACCGCAAGGGCGCACGGTAGTACCGCTCCGGCGGTTCTACCGCTCGTAGCGTCAACACAAAAGGGCTTCTTCTAGTATCTGCCATGGGTGCGGTAGTACCACACCTCCTAGCGGTAGTACCGCTTGTCTGTTGCGGTAGTACCGCATGTCGTGGGCTGGTTAAGTGGATAATGGTTGGATTTGTCCCTTCACTATAAAAGGGGAGTCTTCTTCTCCGAGTTGACTACCTCTTCCATCCCCAAGCTCCATTGATCCTCTAAGCTCCATTTTCGCCCAATCTCTCTCCCTAGCCAATCAAACTTGTTGATTCTCTAGGGATTGGTTGAGAAGGCCTCGATCTACACTTCCACCAAGAGAAATTTGATTCCCCCACTAATCCCTTGCGAATCTTGTTACTCTTGGGTGTTTGAGCACCCTAGACGGTTGAGGTCACCGCGGAGCCATAGTCCATTGTGGTGAAGCTTCGTGGGGTCGTTGGGAGCCTCCAATTAAGCTGTGGAGAATGCCCCAACCTTGTTTGTAAAGGTTCGGTCGCCGCCTCCAAGGGCACCAATAGTGGAATCACGACATCTTGCATTGTGTGAGGGAGTGAGGAGAATACTGTGGCCCTAGTGGCTTCTTGGGGGGCATTGTGCCTCCACACCGCTCCAATGGAGATGTACTTCCCCTCAAAGGGAAGGAACTTCGGTAACACATCCTCGTCTCCATCGGTCCACTTTTGGTTATCTCTCACCTTTGCTTGTGCAAGCTATATTGTGTTATATCCTTTGCTTGCTTGTGTGCTTGTTGTTGTTGCATCATATTGGTTGCTCACCTAGTTGCATATCTAGACAACCTACTTTGATGCAAAGTTTTAATTTGGTAAAGAAAAACTAAAAATTGTTAGCTGCCTATTCTCTCCCCCTCTAGTCAACTATATCAGTCCTTTCAATTGGTATCAGAGCCTCATCTCTTTATTAAGGACTTTACCGTCCAAAGAGTATGGTTGACACCATATACGGTGAGGAGGAGCACCCCGGTGTGATTCCATCTTCGTCTACGGCCGATGGGGGATCCCCGGTCTCATGTG